CACCAAGACCACGGCGAATCTCTCCTCCAGTTCTCCCGGCTCCGGCATCGGCAGCTTGAGCGGCATGTTGTGCGCCCTGAAGTCCGTCTGCTGAGAGTCCATGCTCCCCGCATTGCCCATGGCGGTGGCCCTTCCTCCGGGAAAGGGGGCGCGGGAAGGCCGCCCACCTCGCTCGCCGGCCGGGTGCCTCGATCGCTAGCGGCGGCTCCTGAGCCTGCTTCTGCCGCCGCACCGCGGGGGTCGCCGGCTGCTCCGTTATTCCTGCCCGCCCACCCCCTCCACCGGCCCCAGCGCGATCGCCCACACACCCTTCCGCCCCGGCCCCCCGAGATGGAAATCAGAGCCGGGGGAGGCGAGTGGGACGGGTCTCTGTCTCCCTCTAGGACCGGCCGTGGAAGGAAGGAAGGAAGGGATCGCCTTCCACCTTCACGCCCGCTCTCCTCCTCCTCCTCCTCCTGCTGCCGCCGCTGCTCCTCTTCCCCAGCAGCTCCGCCGGGCTCCCTTTCTTCCAGAGGCGCTGCTCACGGGCGGCCGGCGGGATCTCAGCCGCGGCATGGTGCACACTTTTTTCCGCGCCCAGCAGTCCTGACTGGGAGAAGCATGGCTTGGGGCGGAGCAGCCCTCCTCAAGCGAGCCCCGGCTCTCCCTTCTTCGGGCCGGCCAGCCAGCGCAGCGCCTTACAAAGCCCCGACCGCCCGAAGGGCCAGCAATCGCCGCCGCCGCCAAGCCAGACAGACAAATGCGCACCGCTGCACAAAGCCCCCTCTCGGCAGCCAGGCGCCGCCGCCGCCGCCGCCTCGGAGTACGGGGCTTCTCCACGCCCTCCCTCGCCCGGGGAAAGCTGGGAATCGTAGGCCCCGACTGGCCGCCCGACTGGCCCCGACGGCAAACCTCATGTACAGTATCCGTTTTGCTTGTCTGTGATTTGTATGACATTTGAACCCAGGCCTCCAGAGTTCCAGTTTGTCACTCTGTCCACTACTACATCCCATCAGACACCCCATTATAGATAGATAGATAGATAGATAGATAGATAGATAGATAGATAGATAGATAGATAGATAGATAGATAGATAGATAGATAGATAGATAGATAGATAGATAGATAGATAGATAGATAGATAGATAGATAGATAGATAGATAGATAGATAGATAGATAGATAGATAGATAGATAGATAGATAGATAGATAGATAGATAGATAGATAGATAGATAGATAGATAGATAGATAGATAATGATGGAGTCTAGATAGATAGATAGATAGATAGATAGATAGATAGATAGATAGATAGATATGATGTAGTCACTACACTGTATCTATCCATCTATCTATAGTGGATAGAATGAGGAACTAGAACTCAGGAGGCCTGTGTTCAAATGCTTGTTTAACCATGGAAATTCATAGCCAGGTGTGGAACTAGTAAAACCACTTGTTAAATACAGTATCTCAGAAGCTGACCACAGGGGCTGCATAGCCCACTGTTTGGAAAGCTGCAGGTATGGGCTGGTGTGCTCTTAAAAAACAGCAATGAGTCAATGCCTTTGATACAGGGTACCAGCCCACATTCCCGAGTGCTCCTGCCCTGTTTCCCCAAAAATAAGACAGGGTCTTGTATTAATTTTTGTTCCAAAAAACGCATTAGGGCTTATTTTCAGGGGATGATTTTTTTTCATGTACAACAATCTACAGTTATTCAAATACTGTACAGTCATGTCATTGTCTTCTCGTTGCTACACAATTGTGGAGGGCAGGGTTTCACTTAACTAGGGTTTATTTTTGGGGTAGGGCTTATATTACGAGAATCCTGAAAAATCCTGCTTTTCAGGGAAATAGGGTACCTGCACCTTTTAGGCCCCTGCCAAGGAGCTTCTACATCTCTGGTGTAAGTAGGATCACTCTGGTTTGGATCAGTTCCAGGCCCATTGCTGGAACCAATCCGAAGCAAGCCTTCCTCTTTCAATTTGCCAGTATCGCAAAGTGGCTTAATAAGGGAACCACTTGAGGATATTGGCAAATTAGTCTCTTCCCCTGCTTGGCAAAGGGCAGGGGAAGCGGGTGTGAAATATTGACTGTTTGTAGACTAGCACTGATGCATTATATCAGTTATTTTAAAAATAATATATTCTTTGCCTTCTCCTAAAGGCTTCATGGAAAAAGTGCCTGCAACCAAAGCTGCCACCTATGTACTTGTTTAAAACGAAGCAAGGTGTGAGGCCAAAAAAGCTGAGTGAGCCAAGAAATACAAGGCCCTGCCCCTTTCAAAGGATTTTTAGAAGGTAGCACCATTTTTTTAAAAGGGTGGACTAAAAGTTGTTAGGGGTCATTGTGGCGTTCTTGTTGTCACTGAGGAGGAAGGATGTGTTAATGGCACTTTTGTGGCTTAGGTGCTAACCTGACTGACTTTTCATAACGGGCTGGTATTGCAATCTGTGCCATGATTTGCAAAGTGGAAGTATCAGACTGGCTGTCGTTCATTTAGTACCTTGCCTTTGCTTCCAAGAGGATCCAAAGCAGCTTCAAAGTCCAACAAATAAAACAATTAGAAAAATTCAATGAAATATTTTTTAAAACATATTTAAAAGTGTAGAGTAAAATCCCTTTATTTATTTATTTATTCTAGAACATTGTTGTAAGTTTAAAAGAGAAAAAAAGGACAATTCTGCCATTAAAAGCCATTCACATGTGCAATTTCATTCCGATGTGTTCTTTGCCGTCTAGGAGGGGGGTCAGCTTGGTCACTCATGGAAGGGAGTTTGGAAAGGCTCTGTCTTGGGGGGGGAGAAAGGTTCTCCATCCATTTATACATCATGGTTTAAATATAATGTATTTATAAATTCCCATTGCTATGCAATGTGTTTATTCTAGAAAAGTAAAATTCACGGATCTGAAAATCTAGTACATGTCACCCTGATTCCAGAATCAGAGGTAATTTGCCTCAAAGGGCAGAAGTGGGCTCCAGAAATAAACTACAGATTAGGACCACTCACTCCACAGCAGAGAAAATCCTTGGCAGAAAAGCTTACTAGTTCACCAGCCCCTTATCATGAGCTCACATATTTTGCTTCACTGTGCAGAGTCTTTCAAAGCATCTGCTGGTGCATACCTGAGCCTGGGCTTTTATCATGACAAACACGTTCCTTGTGAAGCATTGTGTGTGTGTGTGTCATCATGTTATTTATATCAACATCACATGCCCTACCAAAAACCTCTATGAGGAGAATGGGAGGGGACATTCAACAGCATTGAAGGAGGTCCCCACCTGCTTGTTCCAATCTGCTGTTTCTGCTTTTGAAGTGATTAAAGCAATATCCAGATGAAGGTCGCAGTCCCTCTGATAAGAAGCATGGCTGGCTGAGTGCCTGCTGGTTTCCAAAAGGAAGAAGATAGTCCCCCACAATAAGATGGTGGTCTGTACAAAGTCAAGGAATTCCTAGGTTTGCAGAATTGTTTACGTTTGTAAATTAAAAGAAGGGTGATCCCAGGAATGTTCTGGCAAGGACCTGGGAGAAAAGGAACTGGAATAGAAAAATAATGGGAGATTTGACTGCCTAAACCCCAAGTACGAACATGTGAGGGAGTGAAGACACAGCCACTTCGTGACCTCAACAAGGGTGTGCCCCAAAACAATTTTTTGTATACAAAGTACACAGGTACCCGCTCAGCCCAGAAGTCCCCCCTGCTTGAGTAAACAGTCTAAGAATAAGATGCTAGTAGGGATATATGGCTATAGCCCCCCCCCCCCGCTTGAGTAAACAGTCTAAGAATAAGATCCTAGTAGGGATATATGGCTATATTTTTTTTAGCTTCCCCTTCTTCCCTCATGGCAGGTGCGAGGGGCACATTCTTCCTTGGTGGAGTTGTCATACCTCAGATATTGAGTGTATGGCTTAGGTGCAGAACTCCTTGGTTCATTGACTGGCATCTCCAAGACAGCTAGGAAAAACTGCCCTCTGAAACGAGAGTAACTATTGGGATTTTTCTCGAGTATGAGTGTTGGCAAATTGCAGCTAATTAATGAGGTGTCAAGTCACACAACTGGGTGCACAGGCAGACAAATGCGACCAACAGCTTGTTAATTAGCTGGAATTTGCCAGCTTTATTTAATGCGAGTTCATTCACTCCTGAGTAAAATCCCAGTAGGATTTGGGCCAGTGTCAACAACTTTGAACTAGACCGAACAAGAATCAGGTCTGATTCACTGTAAGGGCGCTTCCTCTCTTCCTCTAGAATCTCCCTCTTCTAATCTCCCACATTAGTTGCTAAGGAAAGTGCAGTATAAACAGGGATTGCTAGTCAGTTGAAAATCAGGCCTGAGGCACCGCACTCTGAATAATGTGTCAACCATATCACTTATTAGTCAGAAATCAACAGAGATCTGTAGCAAATTATAGCTAATCGTTTAGAGTATAATGTGCATGTTAGTCCCACTCAGACTTCTAGATACACACCTAGAACACATTTTCCCCACCTGGACCCCACTGGGCACAATACCCACCAATCTCCCACCAGCAATGTCACAATTCTCTGGGGATTATTGTATTTGTAGTTCAAAGTTGGGATTGGTTGACTGAAGGGCATAACTAGACGTGGTATGTGTGAAGAGGTTTTCTCTGGAGGAGTACCCTTTTTATCCTGAAAATAAGACAGGGTCTTATATTAATTTTTGCTCCAAAAATGCATTAGGGTTTATTTTCAGGGGATGTTTTATTTTTTTCATGTACAACCATCTACATTTATTCAAATACAGTCGTGTCATCTTCTTCTGGTTGCTGCACAATGGTGGAGGGTGGGGTTTCATTTAACTAGGGCTTATTTTTGGAGTAGGACATATTACGAGCATCCTGAAAAATCCTACTAGGGCTTATTTTCAGGTTAGGTCTTATTTTAGGGGAAACAGGGTATAACTTCCTTCCTAGAGTTTATAAAAATAACCTATTTGGCAAGTAGTCAACTCAGAATTAATCCTGACTGTGTGGAGAGAATAGAGAGTGTTGGCAGGACCAATATGTTTCTTTTAAAGGTATTAGTGGAATCTTTGCTGCTCTGGACAGTTATCTGACAAAAATTATTAAAATTACATGTATTATCTTAAATAGCAGGTCATCTTCATCATACAATCCAAAGGGAAAGAGAAGGGAAGTGCTACATTTTTACTGTAATTCCTACAGTCAGTATGATGGTGTGGATAGAGTGATGGACCAGGACTCAAGAGACCTGGGTTCAAATCCCTTCTTGACCATGGAAACTCACTGCATGAGTGGACTTGGTAACACAGTTCCTTAAATATCTCAAGTACCTGGGAAGCCCTATTAAGGTCCCTATAAGTCAGTTCTCTGCCTCCTCTGAAGATTCTCAAAGCTGAATAGGTTTATATGGGGTGATACGATTCTCCAGACCCAAGACATATGAAAACCCTGTTCAAAGACATTTGTTTCTCACAAACCTGCATGAGTGATGGTGTAATGTCTCAACATCATAATGAAGATTGCACATGTGCAATTAAGAAGAATTAGCTTATAATACTTTAAAAAGGGAAAAAACACAAGACATGCCGTAAATTCTATGAATCACAATGTACAGTGTTTGATTCTTGTTCGTGCTTCACCTTAGGAGTGTGTAACAGGCAGACACCCCCTTCTTTACAGAGTCCAAACCACACCCTGGAAGCAGGGTTTTAATTCATAGCTGAGAACTGTGAGTTTCTCACCAGCGAGATAAATATGTGGCTAAGGCAAGGTAGCCAATGGCTTTGTCTTGCAAAGGGCCGACAGCCTC